TGTGGATGTGAATTTGGGGGATGCTATTCAACCCCATACAGGGGGCAGCAGGCTGGTGAAGGCCCCACCACCCAGGCTCCAGTGAGGTCCCTGCATTTGGGTTTCCAGGGTCTGGTTCTGTGAGGTTCATGGGATCCAGCCTGATGCACCAGGGGCTACAGGGTGGATGTAGATCTAGAGCTTGTCCCTTCTGGCCAGATGCCTTGGAGACCCTCTGGGGTCTGCCCACTTCTCTGACTCAGTCAGCAAACACCAGCTGAGCTGCTTCTGTGGGTCCAGCTGTGGGAACAGGCTGAGTCCCCCCCTCCCAGATCTGGGGGAGGGAGGGCAGGCGAGGAGAAGCTGTGGAGGAAGAGAGGGAGGGAAGGAGGACGGGGTCCCGGGTGCGATTTAGATAGGGGGATGGGGGTCCCTGGGGGAGCCGAGGAATGGAGCTGTGAGGTGGCTCACCCCAAAGGAGGTGGGAGCCTGGAGGTGACACTTGCATAGAGACCTGAATGTTGAGCCAGCCAGGGTGAAATCTGCAGGCAGAGGACACAGCCTGTGCAAAGGCCCTGGGGCAGGACCGAGGCTGACATGGAGGAACAGCGAGGAGGCCCGTGTGGCTGGAGCAGAGCGAGGAGGGGGAGAGAGGCAGGAGGGGAGGGCAGGGAGGGGACGGGGCAGGTCGTGCAGGGCCTGGTGGGCTGCAGGAGGACTTGGCTTTTACCCCGAGGGAGGTGGCAGCCATGGAGGGCTGTGGGCAGAGGAGGGACAGGACCTGACTCAGGTGCTCACAGGTGCCCTCTAGTGGCTGAGGCAGGGAGGACACTGGGAGGCGACAGTGGGAGCTGGGGACCAGGGCGAAGGCGACCGTGCTGGTGCAGGTGAGCAATGCTGGGGCTGGGCCAGGTAGAATGAGAGGAGGGGTCAGAAGGGGTCAGATCACCGAGGGAAGGGGGAGCACAGAGGAGGGTCCACAAAGATGCTTCCAGACTGGCGCGTGGGCTGGAACTGGAGGGCTGGACTGCTTGGGGCTTCCTTAGCCAGTCCCACATCCCTGGGTCAAAGCTGCCTCTTCTCAGACCAAAGATGGGCAGAGGCTCACCCGGGTCCCCCAGGAATTGAGGACAGAGCCTTGAACCCCGCACAGCGTCTTCCCCCATGCTGTCTACCCAAAACACGTGGCAGCATGGAGTGGTTCAGTGGGCAGGGAGGGATGGGTCCAGCACCTCCCTGGTGAGGACGTGTACAGATTTGAAGGTCTGGAGCAAAAGGAATGCTCCCCGGACACCTGAGTGTGGACAGCAGGCTGACCTGCCATGGATTGACTACCGGGGACCCGGGGGCGGGCGCCGGCGCCCAGAGCTGCTCTGGCTTCCTGTGGGGCAGGCTGGGCTCTGTCATGCTGAATGGCCTGGGGTGAGGGATGGCTCCTCCCTCGGCCAAATGTCCCTGTTTGGGGAGCTCTGGGGTTCCAGGTGGCCTCCAGGAGCCTGAAAGCCTGAGTGGAGAAAGGACACCCTGCCCTGCCCAGGCTGGAAGGTGGCTTTGTCCTCAGCGTGGACTCAGGCAAAACACATTTGAGAGGCAAAGCCAGCCTGTCGTCTTATGTTAACATACACAGATGCTTCTTCCTCTCCACACAAAACGTTGCATTGATCGTAACAAAATGAAAACCCCACTGAGCCCAGCTGGCAGCAGCCGCACCGTCCACGTGCCGGTGTTTCTCATCCTCTTCATTTGCCCGAGGGTTGTGGGTTCTGTGCGTGTGTCCAAGCCATCTGAGTTTGAAAAGAGGATGGTAGAATTCATTCAACTACCCATAAGTAAAGTTTAAGTATTTTTCTTTAAGAACATCACTCTCTATGCATCAGTGTCACGCAATAGTAAAAGGCACACGTTTAAAGCGTACAGTGTCTCTGAGTGACCAGTATTGACATGTGTACTCGTACACACCCGTGAAACCATCACCACAGTCAAGGGTGAATACGCACGTCCCCCTTGAAGGAGGATAAGCCCCGCCTGGCACCCAGGGGCCACCGATTCTGTCACTACGGATTAGTTTTATTCAGCTATGATCTCAACCCATATTAGAACATCTGCCATGTGCCAGGTACCGTGCTGGGCTCGGGATACAGAGTGTATGAGAGATGCCATCTCAGCCACCGTGGGACGTGCCATCCACTGGGGAAGACAGTACTAAGTCATCAGACGGAGAGGACCATTTTCAGATTGTGACCAACACCAGGGATGGCATTTCACAGCGTAGGTGGGGGACGGGCTTTGGGTAGACAGTGAGGGCTCCCCGAGGAGGAGCCTTTGAGTGAAATCGGAATGACAGGGATTGAGTCATGTGGAAATCTGGGGAGGGCGATTCAGGCAGCGAGAGCGGCCTGTGCAAAGGCCCTGAGGCAGGACCCTGCGTGGCACGTGGGAGGAGCAGCCGTGTGGCTGGAGCAGAGCCGGCGGGGGCAGAAGGAGGACGCCTCCTGGGATTTGCTGAAGCGTTTGTGTTTCATTCTCAATGTGATGGGGACGTGGGGAGAGAGGCGTAAGGAGAGGAGGGACGTGGCCTGAACCTCACTGGATCCGGAAAGGTCACCGGCTGCCGGAGGACAGTTACAAAGATGAAATGAGATCACGCAGCCCATGCTAGGGACACCTGACGGCTCATGACGTGGCTCCCTCAGGGCCCTCGGGCATCACCTTGGGTCTCCGTCAACCCTGGATGGCAGCAGGCGTTGTGGACAAAGACGTCCTCCGGCAAGGACATCACGCCCTCTCCCAGGACCCCACAGAGGTGGGATGCAGTGGCTTTGGTCTCTTCCTGCTGACTATTTTATTCTTAATAATAAAACATGAGCAAAGGTCCCTTGAAACCATCACGGTTTCACCCCAGAGGCATCGTCCATTGTTGTGTGCACCCTCACTCGTTAAAAACGATTTTATGTACACTCTTCAGTATTGTGTGTTCGCCTTAAACATTTTATATAAGTAGCACCCCACTGTCCTGATCTTACATCTACACTTTTTTTTTCACTTTGCCCCAAGTCTGGGGATCTACGAGGCCACACACCCCTTTTCACAACTGTGTGATACTCTATCCTCAGGGCATGGCAGGAGTTAGTCACTCAGTCCCCTGCTGAGGGACACACAGCTTGTTCCCAGCCTTCCACTGTCCCAAACCATAGAAGCATCAGGGGAAGTGTGTTCAACCAGTGCTTAGCAAACTCTGGCCCCCAGGCTGAGTCCGGCCCGCTGCTTGTATTGTAAATAAAGTTTTACTGGCACACGGCCCTGCCCGTCCATTTACGTCTCTTCCACGAGGGCCGTCCCACTGCACTGGCAGAGCTGAGCATTGCAACCGAGCCCAGGTGGCTGCAAAACCTAAAATACTCACCATCCAGGTGTTTGCAGAAAAAGTTTGCTATCCTTGATTTACTCTCTGTTGTTTTCTTCTTTCACAGTGGAAAAACTTTGTCCACTACTAGAGAACTAAATGCATCTGTGGTCACATTGCAGTGGACATACAATCTTGGCTTCTTTTGACATTTCAATCCTAATTTTGAGAGTTCCCAATGGAAACTGAGGCCCAGAGAGGTGGTGGAGCCAGGACGTGAATACCCAGTCTGGCCAAATCCCCCCACCCCTGAAACTCCAGCCGAGGGGTGGTAGCAGTGACTTCCTGCTAATGCTCACACCATGCGGGGTTACCCGGGTAACCAAGCCCCTTCTTTGAATTCCTCCTGTACAGAGGCCAAGGCGGCTCCTGATTTACCTCCAGGGGATGCACACTCCCTGCAGCCGTCCAGCCCCCCGCTTGCAGTCTGTCCTCTGAACACATGCTCAGGCTCCCAGATCCTCCCCTCAGGGGGCCTGGCTCTGGGGGAGGGACAGGAGGAAGCATGCAGGCAGTTTGCTGAGCAAATGGACTCAGCATTTGACATCTAGGTTCACCTCTTTAGGTACCTGTTGTCCATTGGACAGTGACAGTTATTATTTTCCACTTGACACTGGCCTAGGCCAGTGGAGCTGGATGATGTTGGTGACAGACGGGGCAGGAGGGGAGGGACATTGTGGGGGCCGCCGATTGTCCAAGAGGGGCAAGCGAAGGAAGGGGTGTGGTGCCCACTTTGGGTAGGTGCTCTTATGGTGCCCACTTCACAGTGAGAAAGCAGAGCCTGGCAGAGGGATTTAAATGGGTCTGATGAACCCGTGGGCTCTGTCGTTAGCCATGTGCTGAGTGGGGCGGGTGAAAGGGGCCCGGCTTTGGGCCGCTGGGGAAATCAGGGCCCAGAGAGGAAGAGTCTTGCCTGAGGTCCCAGAGCAGGTTGGTGGAGCACGTGACCACTGAGCCATCCCGCCTTCTGGACTGGGGAGAGGACAGCAGAGGAGCCAGCTGGACAGGAGGAGCCCAGCCCTCCTTCGTGAGTCCCAAGCTGAGAACGGCGGACGAGTTGCTTCTCGCTGAGCTCAGTTTCCTCGCCTGTAAAATGGGGATAAGAACAACCCTGGCTTGTTACTGTGAAGACGCGATGACGTGGGACCCGTGCACTCGGCAGGACACTCGCTCCTGACGACGCTTCACAGTGCGCAGTTACAGCCCATGTTGGAGCCGCCAAGGTCCTCGGCCAGTTC